CCAGGACAAACTTTGGAAGCCATGAGAAGCTCAGAGAATTGTTTGTTTTTTCCTGAATCCAGGTGGTTTTGGCTGAACTGTCCCCACGGTGGCTGGACCTGTGCTCCAGCTTCGCCGCGCTGGAAAAAGGTTTCCAATGAACGAAAAATCCCACATGTGGAAGATGGTGCTTGGAGATGGGCCCAATCCCCGTCCCAAAGTGGGGAAAAGCAGCTCTCGCCCCATTCCCCAGGAGATGGACCCTCCTGGTGGGGCTGGAGCTCTGCAGAAAGGAGCTGGGTTTGCTGGTGCAGGGGCGGGGGCTCAGCGGGGATGGTGCTGGCTGGGCTTGGGGACGGCAACGTGATGCCCCAAAGCACCATCTGAACCCAAAACCATTGAATTTGGATATTCCCTTGGTGCTTATCCCCACCATCCCAAACAGCATCGTGAGAAACACGATGGATTCAGGCAGCGCTGGCTCACGGGCGGCACAGCCCCGCGGGGTCCCAGGGCTGGGCACAGCGCTAATTAAGTGTTGATTAATGAACACAGCTCTGTGCACACCGGTGGCTCTGCCCTTATTTATGGCTCCCAGCAGACGGGCAGAGCACGGGCAGGGTGGACAGTGCTGTGCTGGGGCCCCTTTGCCTGCACTGCAGCGGGTCACATCCTGCACAGCCCGTGGGAGGCTGGGGATGCACCAGCCTGGGATGCTGGGGCTGAGCCACGTCCCCGTGACCTTGGGCACAGCGTTCCCCTGGGTCTCTGCAGCACGATGGGGATGTGGAGGTACGAGGAGCCCACGGGGTCACCCAGCCCCAGGCTGTGTGCTGGGTTCTGGCTGAGCAGAGCTTGGGGCAGCCAGACCAGTGGGTCAAAGTCCCGAGTTTCTCACCCCGGAGCCGGGGGCTGCCCCTGCCCCACGCGGTAACTCCAATATCTCTTTTCTCGTGGCTGAAGAGCTGCTGCAGCTGGACACCGTGTTCCAGCCTGGCCGGAGGAGAGTGGTGACTTCTTTCTGTGCAACACATGCGTATGCTTGGCTGTGTGAGAGCAGGGTAAGGCATTTCAGTTGCTAACAGCTCTGCAGTGTTTGTGGTGAGATAAATGATCCACTGCTCTATTGAAAATCCCCCCAAGCAGGGTTTGTTAGCACAGGGTCCACAATTAACACGATGTAGAGGCACCAGGTAAGAGAGTGTGGAGGGAGATGAGTGTAGGTGGGCTCAGAGAGGCTCTGCTCCGCTCTGACATTACAGCCAGAGCTGGATCTTCAGCTGGTGTAAATCACGGCAGCACTGACATCCACGAGCCCGCGCCAATTTACGTCATCTGAGGATCTGGCCCAAATTCATGCAAGTAACTTCCAAAAACCCACGGTTTCACTGTCATGAAAATGTCAACATTTATTTCTCAGCTTGCCGCGGTGCCTGGAGGTTGAGCGAGCCCGTAACCCCGCTCTGCAGAAAAGGGCAGGAGAATTGACCAGCACCAGGCGAAAACCCACTGCTCTGACATTTCTGCCTTTGAACACGTCCTGCTCTTTGAGGGCAGCGGGATTTTTCAGTGGGGCTTCGTGATTTATATGCTTTGATTTGCAAAAGTGCCTCCTGATGCTGGTCTGTCATAAGGGAGGTGAGTCCCCCCCCCGCCTGCACTGGACCTCCCCTCCCATGGCACTGGGAGGTCGGGGCTGAGTCCTCAAAAGCAGGAGCTCAGCTCCACTGAATGTGTCTCAGCTTGGACACCCCGAGGGGTGTCCCACAGGGGTCCCCCGCTGCTGGTAGAAATCCCAGCCAGAGTAGTTCAGTGCTCCAGAGGAAAGGGAAGGGTGAATGCCAGGAGAGGGAGGCAGCGGCTCCTTACGGTGAGCACAGCTCCCATCCCGCAGCTCCACTCCCAGCCCAGCCCAGCCCCCCTTGGGCATCCATCCTGCACCAGCCACCGCAGTGAGTGCTGCCCCATGATGCCCTACAGTGAGTCTTTGAGGAACATCTCATCCCACCAGAGTGTAAATAACTGAGACTCTTGCCATGATGATATGTAACAAAAAAAAAATATAAATATGAGCTGTTGCCAAAATGCAACCCAGAAGCAGGACGAGGTGAGCAGCAGAAGCTCGGCAGGGTGTGGGCAGCTGCCAGCCCTGAGCTGTCCCCAGGTTTCCATCCTCTACGGGCCTGGCAGGAGCTTGCAGAGAAGGTCGATGACAAGTGACACGGGCTGCACAGTGTCATACTCTGCAAACAGGTGACACAGGTTCTCCGAATCTGTCTGGCTTTTGGCCACAAAGCCAAAGATCCTTTGAAAAAGGAGAGAGAGCGCCTGATGTAGTCTGAATCCAGTGGAATACGCTCAAACTAACTCCAAAGTCCCGGTTCCAGCAATCCCACCTTGGCCCGCTCCCCAATCACGTTCACTTGGAAGCAAAACAGCCGGGAGAAGTGTTCCTGGCAAGGCTTCCCCAGCTCTGAAACGTTTCTTGAACACAAGGTAGAGCCAGATAGAAACTCACTTCCTGAGCACAGAGCAAGCGAGGCGGTGGGGAGGCTGCCGGGTCGGGACGGGGGCTTTCTACAAGGGGGGGATGTGGAGATCTGGGCTTAACCAAACCTCTCACCCAAACCCACAGAGCAAAACCCTCCATAAAGCAAACTTCACCCATCTGTCCCGTGTCCCATCCTGCCACCACGTTAACTTTTATCACATCCCCTCTTCATTTTTAGGCTTTGATTCTTTGCTGCTCTGCAAAGTTTGGCAATGCAGCCGCCGGCGAGGCGAGACTGGGCCAAAGCAGCATCTCCCCCTCCCCGTTTCCACCGGCGCTTTGGCTGCGGGAGGTCCCCGAGCAGCTCTTACCTCGAGGACTTGCAGTACTTCTGCCACCTGAGGGGAGAACAGAGTTGGATTTGCTCAAAGACTGATATTTAACTCATTCCATCAGCTGCAAAGTCCAGGTTTATATTTAGCTACACCTGGCACGTTAAGCCTGGGTGGTTGGGATTTGGGATTTTCAGCAGCAGTTGGGATTTGGGATTTGAAGGGGTGCAGAGATGGGAGCAGTGGAGCTGCACTGGGAACCACGGGGAAACGAGCATCATGCAGCAGCTCTGACAGCACAGAGACCCTCATCCCACAGAGCACCCAATAACTCACTTTCTATTCTCAGGATCCATCCCACAAAACCTGATGGCAGCCAAGGGGTAGTGTCGCCTGAAAAACACCCTGTTGGGGGGAGGAGAGAGCACGGCGTGAGAGAGGGAAAGTGCCTGGGCAGAGCCGGTGGGACAAACAGACATTGGCAAAGTCAAGCCCTGCTCAAGCTGCTGTGGGTGCTGGGAAGGAGGGTGTGGGGGACAGTGGTTTGGGGGTCCCACTCCCCAGGGCCGACCCTGAGCCAGCAGCTGGCAAAGCACAGGCAGCTCTCAGCTTCAGCCGGCTCCTGCTGAGCTGTTGCCACTAGCTTCACGTCAAGCAGCATCGTGCCCCGTGCTCTAAACCCAAGGGACCAAATCCATCCCTGGATTGCAACACGGGTCTGGCCTCGCAGGCCAGTTTCTCTTGACGTGCTGCAGATCAGCACGTTGGTGGGCGAGAAGTGAGTGGGGTGGTCACGGGCCAGTTGCGTTTCCATGACCATGGAGCTCTCCCTTGGAGCTCGCCACTGGCCAGCCCTCAGCTGTGGCCCCGTCCTGACCCTCCCCAGGCAGCTCTTACTTCCTCTGGATGTCCGTCAGCGTGACGCCCTGCTCGGACACCCTGAAGTGCACCAGGGTGGGTGTGGGCAGAGTCTCCAGCTCGAAGGTGGAGGAGATGGCTTTCTGGATGGCCGGGGCTCCCGTCAGCGTCTCCGTGGTCACCGAGTTGAGGTACAAGACGTTGCACACTGCAAGGACAGCACAGAGCCCGGCTCAGCGCGAGGTCAGCACCACGCCGGCGTCTCACTGCACCGGGCAGAGCCGTGCCAGGTCCAGAGTTGGGTCACAGGTATCATCCTGCAGAACCGGACACACACGTACGTGGGTCAGCTTTGTTTTGATAAAAATTAAAGATCTGGTGACTCAGAAATTCTTCAGCATTTTATTTTGATTTGCTTTAATTCTTCGCAATAATTGTTTTAAAAGTCAAAGTATCTAATTTCCGGTTTCTAAATGTCACATTTGGATTTTTTTTTTTTTTGTTTATTACATATTTCCTTTAATGAAAAGCAGAAATACCCCAAGCCAACTAAGGGCTGAAGGCCAACCTAAAACATGACATTTCAGGCTGATGGAGCTGTTTAAAGGGCTGTTCTGGGTCAAACTAAACTTTTCAGCTTGCCAACTTATTTTTCAGTATTTCCAGCAAAACAAAGCAGTTCCTGACTCCCCTGACTGCGCCGTGACCCCTCCGCGTGGTCTCCTGCCCATCGCTCTCTGCTCTCACCTGGAGCCCACCCAGGCTGGGGGCAGAAAAGAAGCAAAGACCCTTCCCCATCCTGTTTCCATGTGTCCCCCATAAAGTCCCTCAGCAACGTAACCAGCCCCCGACTGCCCCATCCCTCTCCTAGAAACTCCAGATGCTCAATGTCCATCGGTCTAATACTGACTGAAGCCAATCAGGAGAGAAGCTTCAGAATCAGGGATTATTTAAAACTGTGGGTGTTGTGGGTCTTTTATCAGCCTCGGGACCTCAAGAATTGTCTTTTCAAACTTCACTTCACCATTGCAAGCACTAGAAGTCTCCTTTCTTTAAAAATGCCAGGTTCCCTCGCAGGCCCATGATCTGAGGATGTGAAGAAAACCAGCAGGTTATCTCCAACCTGGTGATAAAGCCAGGAGGGGGACAGGGGGACATGGCACCAGCACCCACAGGTCACTGGGGTGACCTTCTGCTTTGCACAGGTCCAAAGACAGCATCGGCTTTTCAGCTGCTGCTGCGAATGGGCTCAGAACAGATGATATAAAACACCCCAGAGCCTGGTTTGTGCTGGGTAAGGACTAAACCCAAAGCACGGGCACACGCCCAGAGCTCCAGCTACTGGGAACTGGGCTGTCCCCTGGTGACAGCGCCCCGCTCCTCTCCTCACCAGCAGTTTTCCTCAGCAGGGACAGTGTGGACTCTGCAGCGCAGTCAGGGCTGTCGTCTCCATCAGCGAGATCTGCACAAACGACAAGCAGGAGCACCGGTGTCCGCAGGTCGGGCTGCTCTGGGTCACCACTTTGCACTGGGGGAGATCCCCTCGCTCACAAGAGGCCCAAAGTCCCAGGACTGCTTAAATCGCAGAGGTTTAGAGCAGTAATTAATTTAATTGTCCTCCATCTCCCTCTCCTGGCTGCGTCCATCTCTGACCTCCCCACTCCTCCTTTCCTTGCCCACCCTCAGTGCTCCCCGCTGACCACCCTCCATCCTCAGCAGAAGCAAGTCACCAGCATCTCACACCCAAGTCAGCTCTTGCAGGTCCTTGCTCCACCACCAGCCCAGGAAATCAGCCCCGTTGCAGGTTCAGCCCCCTCCCCACTCCAGGCCTGTGCCCACCTCCCCAGCCCAGCAGCAGGGACCCCTTGGAGCATCTCTCCTGTCCCCAACACCTACCTCGGGTGGGGATGCTGAGCTTGCAGGGCAGTGCCAGCGGGGTGATGGCGTGCTGGTACACGAAGGCAGAGAGGCTCCCTGCAACACACAACCACGTGCTGAGGGGACTCCGGAGCCTGAAACCTCCCACCCACCCACCTCTGGCCCTGCCACAGCGTCCCAGGGAGCTCAGAAGGATGGAGGGGGAACTAAGCTGGACTATGGGGGATCTGCCAGCCACAAAAGTGGGTTTTCCAACTCCCAGCACATGTTCTTGATTTGGACACGACCACCACAGCCTGACTGGCAGAGAAGTGCGGGCAGGGGCTGGGGTGGAGGGCCCAATGCCAGCAGGTGGGCAGCATCTTAGTGCAGGGCTGTGGGGCAGCCCCATCCCGGCTGGAGCTTTGAGGGGCTTTTGGAAGCAGCTGGTGGGGCTGCCAGGGCTGCTGCAGGCAACGGCACCGTCCTCACCGAAATACAGCTCCTCGCTGGCGCCTTTCAAGCGCACCCCTTTGGCAGAGGACTCGATGAGGAAGTGCCGGACGAGGTCACTGCTCTCCTCGCCTGCAATCAGGATGGAAGAGGTGTCAGCACTGGCACCAGCGCTGTTGTTTCACCACTGCCCACCCTGGGGCCCATCCCAGGGCACCCACCGGAGCTTCTGCTCTGCACGGTGAGTGCGGTGCCAGCCCCCAGGCATGGTGGGATGGGCACACGCAGACCCCAGAGTCTCACAGGACCAGAGTGAGACCTGTTTCAGTTTGACTGGTTTCAGTTCAACCCCTGAAGCAAACCCCACCTTTCCCTGTACCTGTCTGGCTGCTGGATGGAGAGACAGGAACCTTCATTGCCAGTCCAAAAGACCCCCGGTACGACGTGCTGTCCCGCACAAGGAACGTGCCTGGCTCCTTGTCCTTCAGCAGCTGGATCGCTGTCAGAGCACAGGGGGAGGCTCAGCCAAGCAAAACAGGTGGAACCTCCCCGCTTTGCATTTCGCGTCCGGCTGATGCTCTCATAGGGAGTCGTTCCTTGGCAGCAGCGAGAAACGCTCGGCAGCGTGTGCTGAGCACACCGACGTCCCTTGGAGCACGTGCCCATCCCTCGCGTGGGTACTGGCTGCAGGGCCCCTGCAGACTGAGGGTTTCTGGCTTGGTTCTGTGGGTCCCCCCAGTCCCCAGGACAGTGTCAGCCCCTGCCTGGGCCGTGCTGAGTCACAGCACGGTCAGAAGTGGGAGAAGCTTTGCTGGGCTTGAGGGGGACAGCAGGGCTGTGGCACAGCCGGTGTTCCCAAGCCATCCACCCAGACCTGTGAGCGGGTCTCTCCACACCCATCAGCCCCAGGAGACTTTGAATTGCTGTCCTCAAGTCCCTGGCATGGGCAAGAGCTGGACTGGGGTGCTGCCAGGAGGCAAACTGGTCCAGCCTGGGGCACAGGCAGCAGTGCTGCAGAGCCAGGGAGAGCATAGCTGAGGTGGGGTTATCCCAGCAGACACTCGCTGCCTTACCTCGGTCCCTGGTTATGCTTGGCTTGAACCAGTATTTGGATGTGTCCATCACAAACTTCATGGTCGGCTGCCCAGCCCCGAGGGGACCTGCAAGAGAACTTGCGGCATCAAGGCCAGTGGAGCACCTGAAAGACCTTCACAGCAGACGTCACTGAGCAGGACAGAGCAAAGATATTTCTCTTTCAAGCTGGCCAGGGTTGAAGGGTTTTGGGTTTGGTTTTTTTTTTTTTTCCAATCCTTTTGATCAGAGCTTCCTCCCTGCTCCTCAGAATAATTCATTCTCCAAGTAATTATCTCTCTTGGCAGGCTGCGATGGGTTGCAGAGAGGCAGCACATGGGATCCCCCAGCCGTGCCCGTCTGCCCAACCCTGCACAAGTCCACTGGCCCATGGGGATTTACGCCAGCTGAGGATCTGACCCGCAAAGCTCTCCTGCTTTTCCCATAAGAATCCCAATTAAAACCCTCTGCCCTCAGAGCTGCCTCTGCTAATCTCCTCCAGAGAACAATAGCCCCAGTGTTTGCCCTTGAATGAGGGACCTTACAAACACTGGTATCTTTAGATGTTCTCCAGAGCAAACTGGAACCCTGACCCCTCCTCCCCACCATTCTGGGCCCACAAACAAGTATGAAATGACAGAATTATGTTCTCATTCTCAGGTGCTATAAATACATGAATCTGCATCTCCTTGAGGGGACCAGAGTGTTTCTGCCCACTGAGCATCTGCCCCAGGGCCCTGGTGGGCAAAACACTCAGCAAAGAGCTGGAGACCACCACAGAGCCCTGCAACCCTGTGGAGATACAGTGAGGACCTCCTGTCCTTTGTGTCTGTAACCCACAGATAAACCAGAGTAGAAACTGGTGTTTGTCCCCCTTTCCTGGTGGTTGTTGGGGTCTAAAGCTCCTTCCCCCCAAGAGCTGCCCCATGGCAGGGAGGTCACTCACTGTCTGAGACGCAGGAGAGCGCGGGTGCCGACAGCGCGTTGTTCAGGACACTGAGCACCGAGGCTGGGCTGCAGCTGGCAGCGGGGGGCTGCTTGACAGAGGCTGGGGGGGCTTTGGCCAAGCTGGGAGATGCATCTCCTTGTTCCAAGCACCCGTTCACCAGCAGCACTGGGATGTCAGCTGTGGAGTTGAGGATGGAGGGGGGGCAGCTGCTGGCCTGTCCCTTCTGGGATGGGGAGGTGTTGGCTTTGGTGGCTGTCCTGGGCTGGGGGGAACTTGGGCCAAAAGCTTCTCCAGAGTGAGACCTGATGGTGGGGGAAGGTGGGCAGGGGCTGCCCAGGGAGCTGGCAGGGGACAGGGAGGCAGCGGGATGAGCATCCGAGTCGTCATTGTGGAGCGAGTGGGTGCTGCTGCAGGGGGAGAAGGAGATCAGTGTGGTTGTTCAGCCAGGACGTGATGCACAACCCACCCCAGAGACCAGCCAGGTGGGACATCAACTCCCAGTCTGAGGACAGAGGTCTGGGACAGCAGGGCTGGGGTAACTGCCCTGCACCCCTTCCGTCCCCATTGCCAGCCTGAGAGGGGACACGGTGTTATTTACCTTCCAAGGATGTAGCTGGTGTCCGAGCTGGGGCTGGTGGAGATCACGGAGACCCAGCTGCTGCTCTGCTTGGGCCTC